AACGAGTGTTACACAGAGGAGCTCAAGTGCATCATCTCAGGATCTAACGTCCCACCTTCCGGCAGCTTGTTGAAATTACACCCCAGCATTACTCCTGGCCGGCATCATCTTGCGATGCTCCTTATGTCTCACTATCAAGAAGCAGTGAAACACCAAGGTAGGCATTTCACTGAAGGTGCCATTTGAGCTGCAGGGTTCTGGCTGGTGGGGACCAAATGCCTTATCAGCAGCCTGCTCTACAGGTGCATCACTTGTAGAAAATTGAGGGAAAAGACCGAGTATCAGCAGATGGCAGCCTTGCCGGCAGAACGGCTACAAGTAGCACCTCCCTTCACCACGTAGGTGTCAATGTCTTTGGACCATGGGACATAGTATCACGTCACATGAGAGGAGGTGTCTCCAACTCCAAACGATGGACTGTGATGTTCTAATGCATGTGTTCAAGGGCAGTACATATTGAGGTGATTGAGGCAATGAGTGTTAGTAGCTTTATCAATGCTTTGAGGAGGTTCTTTGCAGTTAGGGGACCTGCAAAGCAGATACGCTCTGACTGCGGAGCTAACTTCATCTGCGCCTCCTGTGAGCTTGAGATGGACAAGGCGAATCCAGGTTTCAACAATGTGGAGAAGTACCTGAACAAACAGAGCTGCACCTGGGTGTTTAACCCACCCCACGCATAGGCATTGCTCGCCAAATCTTGGATTGCATGCTGCTTGAGCAGAAGAAGACCCACCTCACACATGAGGTTCTGATTACGCTCATGGCCGAGGTAGCGGCAGTCATGAATGCAAGGACGCTCATTCCATTGTCTTTGGGTCCATAATCGCCATGCATCCTCACCCCAGCAATGCTCCTGACTCTCAAGACAGGCTCTGCACCATCTTTCCCATCAGGCAACTTTGATGAAGCAGATCTCCTCAGAGAGAATCGGAAACAAGTTCAGGCTCTGGCAGACATGTTTTGGAACAGGTGGAAACACGAATACCAAACAATGCAGCTTGGGCACAATTGTCACTGTCTGCAGACAATCTCATCGAGCCTTAAGAGTCGTCTGTAATACAAATGAGATGTAAGTGTAATTCCTCCTGCTGCTAATTGTATCTGTGAAAGAGAAGCTGCCTGTGATATTACATCCACTGACACTTTACACTCACTGATTCATTATTTCCACCCCTGAACAATTAATAAACACTTAATTGTCCACATCACTGCTTAAGAGTCAGGCAGTCATTGACATCCACAGAGTAAGGAGTTTGCTCTCAGATAGGGGTGAGTTTTCCCTCACAGTTCAACACAAACAGAAATCACAGAGCGTTCAGTGTTTTAACACACATCCACAGCGACCTGATGATCAATTATTCACAGACATTTCCTTTGAATCCATCAGCGACACGCTGCAGTGGTGACAGGAGCTCATACAGCCGCAGGAGGTCCACGCCCCAGCGGAGCAACGGGTTCAGACATACTTTTAGCCTGTCACAAAGACTCACAGATGACCTTTAATGCCCCCCTCCTCCTGAGGCTGCGGTAAATTAGCATGTGTCTCTGAGGAGCTCCAGAACACGCAAAGTCTTTAGAAACAGCATGTCGTATGAATGTGAGAGTGTGAAATGAAGAAGAGTCATGGTAGTGTTTAAGAGGAGGAGGAGGAGAAGAGTAGGAGGAGGAAGAAGAGGAGGACACGACATCAGAAAGGATTAGAGTCTACAGCTGAAGGATAAACATCAGCAGACTGACAAGTGAGAGACTAAAGGAGGAGCATCAGTAAACTGCTGAAGATAGAACAAGTATCCATCTGTTTATGTCACAGATACTTTTGGCCGCAAGATGCAAAATTAAGCGGTTCAATTTCAGTCATTTTAAGAATATTCAAACCTATTTTGGTAGCTTTCTTTTTCTATCACCATACTTAATCCTGCTCCACTGAAACATCTTTATCCTCTGCTGTTCCTCAAAGTGAATTTGTTCAAGAATGGATCTTCATTTAAAATCAGTGCATTTACTGTAACTCTGCAGACTGTGAATCCATCACAAAGTACATGATCTCCAATTATATATCACCAGGTGAACATTAACACATCTGTTTGAGCTGCCCAATCTACCATGCGCAAACACTTGATATTCATAACCTTATTGATGTTCATCATATTGAAGAAACAACTGCCTGACATGTGCAGAGATTCTTGAGGGCCACAGAAGAATTTTAAAGGCTTTTTTTCTGTCCTGCAGACCAGACTGAGTCATGCATGGGTTTGATTTCCTCACAATCTGTGTAAAACATGGACACAGTCTCAGTGACGTCAGCCCCTGGTTTCTGAAAAGGAGAAGAAAAGTCGCTCTGAATTCACCTTGACCCTCAGGATCCTCGGGGAGCACAAACGAGCTGATGGACAGAATCAGGTACAGAATCAAGTCCAGAATCAGCTTGACTGTTTCGTAGTGTGGATTCTGCTTTAGTTGGCCTGGTAAGAGACAAAGAGGAGGTGGGCCTTTAGCCTTAAGCTTAAAGCTATATAGTGTGCCTGATTGTCAATCAAGATTTTAAAATCTCAGGAAGTGAGTATGTGGCTTCAGAGAATTTTAGAGCCCACCCCTAGTGGACATTCAGGGAACCACAGTTTCTGAGGCACTTCCACACTAGCTTTTTTCTAGTGCCCTGAGGCTGCCACTTCTTATTTTGAAGACACTTGTTGGTTTAGTCTGTGTAGTAACTGTTGCAGAGGAGAAGGTGTAAGTCCCACCTGGTCTCTGTCCAAAGTTGTTGAGAAGGCAGTCAGACAACAACAGGAGGAGTAAGAGCGGGTTTGTGTGTTTTGTTTGCTGGCGGAAGGGAGGGCTTTTTACAGACAGGGAGGAGCAGTGCGATGGCTCTGGATCCATGGCAGCTGTTTCCTTCAATGTTTCATGCTCACAGCCACAGCTGCTCTCCAAATGAGAGTTAATATTGCAGGGGGGCTGTCCACCCTGGGTTCAGCCCTGTCACATGGTCTGAATGTCAAACAGGGCCCAGCAGGGTGACGCCGGCTCAAAGGACACTCTGTGTGAATCCTCTACCTCCTGTTTGTGTCTTTCTGCCTCAGCAGATCCTTTTCCAGGCTGGACAGGGGTGAAATCTCTATTCTTCATGGCTGCAGCAGAGAGGGGTCAGGTTTAATAAAAGATAAATGAGGAAATCAAAGATGGAGGCCCGTTGGAGCTAAGAGTCTTAATGCATCTTAATGTCGAGAGAGTTTGGATTCACACTCTGCATGGCACCTCCTTGATTATTGTGCAACATTATCCAGTTTCATCCTTGACCTAAAAATGATCTTATTCCACTTCCGACCAGAAGACTCACACTTCTATTCATCATATCAAAGCAGAACAATTTTTATTCTGGATGAAATAAAATCATCCACAAAAGAAACTCAGACCATTTCTCCTCCTGTAAACCCTAACCTTACCACAGCTAACCTCTGCTCACCTGTTTCCTCCGAACTGAAAACATCCACTGAGAGAGGAGGAAGCTGCACACACACACAGGCACACACGCACACTAGTGGCAGTGCTGAGTCTGATCTGAAGTGTCCTGTCTGCGGTGGTGCAGCTGCATAAAGGAAAGAGCTGCTGGAATATCACAGACAGTCTACTGTGTCCGCTGGTATCCATCTCTCTCTCTCTCTCTCTCTCTCTCTCTCTCTCTCTCTCTCTCTCTCTCTCTCTCTCTCTCTCTCTCTCTCTCTGAGCAGTGAGTGTGCTGAGTGAGTGTGCGGAGCGATTGTTCGAGTGTTTGAACATCTTTTCTATCTTTTTGTAGCTTTCTCATGAGAGAAAGTCTGCTTTATTTGTATTAATAGTTGTAGGTGAGTAGTTTAGTTTGGAGGTAGGTGGTGGTGGGCTGACAGCAGGGCGACATGCCCGTTGTCAGTGGTCACGCCGAGCTGGAGCTGCTAACTCGCCGGCACGCGGTGAAAGTGTTACCTGGAGCTGGCGTGTCGGTGGAGGAGGTAAGCTATGCTGTTGGTGAGGTGGTGGGATTCGAGAGTGTAAAGTCAGCATCTAGGATGAATAGTGCTGTTGTGATTTTTTTAGATGAGGTGAGTAAAGTGGAGAGGGTGGTGGAATCAGGTGTAGTATTGAGGGACACGTTCACTTCCGTGTTTCCTCTGGTGAACGTGGCTAAAAAGGTAACAGTGTCAAATGCACCACCGTTTATAAAAAATGATGACCTGTGCAAAGCTTTGAGTAAGTACGGTCAAATTGTGTCACCAATAAAAATGGTGTTGCTAGGGTGCAAATCACCAAAGTTAAAACATGTCGTGTGTCACAGGAGGCAGCTGTTCATGATACTGAAAGACGCCGAAAACCCTTTAAACCTGTCGCTAAATTTTAAGATCGAAGGTTTTAACTATGTGGTTTTTATTACATCGGACACAATGAAGTGTTTTGGGTGTGGGGCTGAAGGACATCTCATCCGAGCATGTCCTGAGGCCAGAAAGGAGAACGCCGGCGCTCCGGGCCCGGAGCGCACGGCGGGTGAAGCCGGGGCTCCGCGCGCGGAGCGGCCGGCGGGTGAGGCCGGGGCTCCGCGCGCGGAGCGGCCGGCGGGTGAAGCCGGGGCTTCGGGCGCGGGGCGCCCGGCGAGTAAGGCCGGGGCTCCGGGCGCGGAACGCCCGGCGGGTGGAGCCGGGGCTTCGCGCGCGGAGCGGCCGGCGAGTGGGGCCGGGGCTCCGGGCGCGGAGCACGAGTCAGACGCCTCGGGCTCCCGTTTGAGTAAGCAGGTGCCCGAGGATAACAGAATGGAAGTGGGTCTGAGTGGGGATGCACCAAATGAAAATAATGTAAAAATTGATCAACAGAAAAAAACTGTAAATACTGTGGTGGAGGGAGGAGGAGAAAACAAATCAGACATTGACAGCATGATCAAAGTGATTATGGAAGACGTTTTTAACGAACAAAACATCAGTCTTAAATACAGTAAAAGAAAACCAAATGAGCAGAGTCAGGGGGGAGGGAAGGCCATGAAGGTACTGGAGGACCTTTCTGAGGAAGAGGAGGAGGAGGAAGAGGAGGAGGAAGAGGCTGACTTTACTCCTTCTCAAAAAGAAAAAATCACAAATTACAGTGTGACAAAAATCAAAAAGTTTTTAGCTGACACTAAAGGTCAATGGGCGGTCAAAGTGGAAAATTTTTTCCCAGATTTAAATGGTTTTATAAACTCAGTGAATCGTTTTCAAAGAGAGAATGCGTTTACTGAGCAGGAAGTCTACAGACTCAGTAAACTCAAAAAAAGGGTCAAAGAAACACTCAGAGTGACAAGTAACTGATTTTTATGATGTCGTGTTTTTTATCCCCTGTTTTTATTTGTTCAGTTCTTCTCACAGTTTTTATGAACATTCGTATTGGGACTCTAAACATAAACGGAGCTCGGTCAGACTATAAGAGAGCATCTCTGTTCCAGCTGTGCCAGCTGAAAAAGCTGGACGTACTCTTTGTGCAGGAGACCCACAGTGATCAGAGGAATGAGGGGGACTGGAGAAGGGAGTGGCCAGGCCAGGTCTATCTGAGTCACAAAGTGTCCAACAGTGCTGGGGTGGGGATCCTGTTCTCCAGGTTCTTTAACCCTCAGACTGTGCAGGTGCACCAGGTGATGGATGGACACATTTTAATGGTTAAGGCTCAGTATGAGGATTTTAAATTTGTTTTTGTGTGTGTTTATGCTCCAGTGCTGGGCAGAGACAGAATGCTGTTTTTAAATACTCTGTGTGATGTGGTGGGGGGTGTGGAGGAGGGTTTTTTATTCCTGGGGGGTGATTTTAACTGCACTGCTGATGCAGTGATGGACAGGAATCACCTGGAGCCTCATCCTGCCTCATCCACTCGGCTAAAAAGACTGATAGAAACTCATGACCTGAAGGACGTGTGGAGAGGGTTGAATGGCTCCACCAGGCAGTACACCTGGTCCCACTGCAAGGACAACAGCTTGTCTCTTGCCAGACTGGACAGATTTTATTGTTTTAAACACCATTTCGGCATTTTTAGGAAATGTCTTATTGTCCCTGTGGGTGTGTCTGATCACTTTTTAGTCCAGTGTGACTTTTTTATTCAGAATGTGAAGACATCCAGCGCCTACTGGCATTTTAACACGGCTCTTTTAGAAGACTGTGCTTTTAAAGATGCTTTTAGGTTTTTATGGGCTTCACACAGGGACAGGAAGGCAGAGTTTTTATCAGTGCAGAGATGGTGGGACTATGGGAAGGTTTTAATTCAGCAGTTCTGTCAGCAGTATACTCGCAACGTCACCAAGTACATCACCAGATCCCTCCAGGTCCTGGAGACTGAGGTACAGAACCTGTTGGACTGTACAGGAGAAGGGAGGCATGTTGAGGCCCTCCAAAAGAAGAAGGCTGCCATAGCCAACCTGCTGGGCACTACAGCACAGGGGGCGCTGGTGCGCTCCCGCTACATGAACGCCTCCATGATGGACGCCCCATCGAAGTTCTTCTTCAGCCTGGAGTCAAAAAACGGACAGAGGAAGGTGATCCACAGCCTGCGCGCCACTGACGGATCAACCATCACTGGGGCCTCAGAGATCCGCAGGCATGCCACATGTTTTTATAGAGACCTTTTTAAAAGTGAACTGGTGGAGGATCCACAGCTGGAGGCAGACTTTCTGTCTGACCTCCCTCAGGTGGGACAGTCGGGGAACTCTCTCCTGACAGCAGACCTGACTCTGGAGGAACTGCATGTGGCCCTCATGAGCTTGGCCAACGGAAAGGCCCCAGGCATCGACGGGATCCCAGTGGATTTCTATAAGACTTTCTGGCCCGTGGTGGGCGAGGACTTATTGGAAGTATTTCAGGAGAGTTTGAGAACAGGACTGTTACCGCAGAGCTGCAGGAGGGCTGTCATAACCCTGCTCCCCAAGAAGGGAGACCTCCAAGAACTGAAGAACTGGAGACCGGTCTCACTGCTCTGCGGGGACTATAAGGTCCTCTCCAAAGCCCTGGCTCTACGGCTGCGAGAGGTGATGGCGGAGGTGATTCATGTAGACCAGACTTACTGTGTGCCCGGCAGACTGATCAGTGATAACATCACTCTGATTCGGCATGTTTTGGACGTCTCTAGCTCTTTAGGCGTTGACACTGGTCTGATTTCCATAGACCAGGAAAAGGCTTTTGATCGGGTTGAACACCAGTACCTGTGGAAGACGCTCGCCGCCTTCGGGTTCAGCCCAGATTTTATAGCCAGGGTTCGGGTTATGTACCGTGACGTTGCGAGCATACTCAAGATTAATGGTGGTCTGGCTGCTCCCTTCTGCGTTCAAAGAGGGGTTCGACAGGGTTGCTCCTTATCAGGAATGCTCTATTCTCTAGCGATAGAACCGCTATTAGAAAGAATGAGGAGGACTCTGACAGGAGTTCTGTTCCCAGGATGTCCTTCAGCGATAAAACTAACAGCATACGCTGACGACATCATGGTGGTTTTAAATACACAGAAAGACATTCAGGTTTTAGAGGACAAAGTAAATCTTTTTAACAAACTGTCTTCAGCCAGGGTCAACTGGGCCAAGAGTGTGGCCTTCACCACAAACAGGGACTCCTTGGGGGGGCTGGTTCTTCCTGGGGGGCTCCAGTGGACAGTGGGGGGGCTTAAATATCTTGGGGTGTTTTTAGGGGATGAACAGTTTTTAAAGAGAAACTGGGAGGGGGTCCTTGAGGCTGTCGAGGGCCGACTGAAGAGGTGGAGGTGGTTGCGGCCGTCCATGTCGTACAGGGGGAGGACCCTGATCATTAACAACCTGGTGTCGTCCTTCCTGTGGCACAGGTTGGCTGTTGTAGACCCTCCCCCTAACCTGCTCTCCAGGGTCCAGACTGTTTTAATTGACTTTTTCTGGGACAAGCTCCACTGGCTCCCACAGGCGGTGCTGTTCCTCCCTGTGGAAGAGGGAGGTCAGGGGCTGGTGCACCTGGCCAGCAGGGGGGCAGCGTTTAGACTACAGTTTATCCAGCGGCTGCTGTACGGGCCCCAGGACCTCGTGTGGAGGCCCCTGGCTCGGCTGATTCTGCGGAGCGTGGGCGGCCTTGGCCTACAGGAGACTGTGTTTTTATTGGATTTTAAGACTGTGAGTTTTTTATCCCTGCCAGTGTTTTACCGAGGTGTGTTCAGCGTGTGGAAGCTGCTGTGGAGGCAGAGGGTCCAGCACCAAACCTGCTGCTGGCTGCTGAGGGAGCCGCTGGGCCGTGGAGGCCTGCTGAGCAACCCCCCCTGGGCAGGAGCAGCGGTGGCCGAGGACCTGAGGACAGCGGGGATCACCACGCTGGGGACCCTGCTGGACATCACCGGACCCGACCTGCAGGAGACGGAGGAGCTGGCGAGGCGCTTGGGCTGGAGATCGAGGAGGAACATGAGCCGACTGCTGAACCACTGGAGGACCTGCCTGACGGGACGAGACCGGCAACTGCTGGGAGAACAGCGACAGGAACAGACTGCCCCCTGTCCCAACCTACCGTTCCCCCCCCTCATCATCCGTCCGGGACCAGACCTGCAGCAGGAGGTGAGCCTGGAGAAGGCCGAGGGAAAGGCTCTCTCGGCTCTAATGGTGAGGACGATAAACCGAGAGAGACTGCAGCAACACATCCGGTCCCCCTGGAGGGCTCGGCTGGTCCTGGGGGACAAGGTCCAGGCTGAGTGGAGGAGCCTGTACAAGCCTCCACTCTCCAAGAGGGTGGCTGACCTCCAGTGGAGACTAATTTATGGGATTTTAGCTGTAAACTCTTTTATTTCCATCATGAACTCATCAGTCCAGAACAACTGTCCGTTCTGTGGAGCAGTGGAGACCATCGTCCACTGCTTCACTGAGTGTCCTCGCCTCGCTCCTCTGTTCGAACTGATGGAATGTGTGTTCAGGAGAGCAGACGAGGTGTTTTCTTTTAAGACATTCATTCTTGGTTTTAAATACAAAAGAGCTCAAAAAGAAAAATGCCAAATGTTGAACTTTGTGCTGGGACAATCAAAATTGGCGATCTACATGAGCAGGAAGTTGAAAGTGGAGGACGGTGTGGACTGTGACCCGGTGCTGCTGCTGAGCAGAACCATCAAAGCGAGGATTCTGATTGACTTCAAGTACTATAGAGAAATGCAGAACATGCTGCGGTTTTATCAAACATGGACCCATGGTGGAGTACTGTGCTCAGTTAAAGATGGTGGACTGGAGTTTTCAGATCAGCTGGTCTGATCTGGTTTTATTTATTGTTTTTATTTAAAATATGTATATATATATATATATATATATATATATATATATATGATGCTGATTGTTGTTGTTGAAAAAATGACTTGAATAAAGTTGTTTTGAAAAATCAAAATCTCTCTCTCTCTCTCTCTCTCTCTCTCTCTCTCTCTCTCTTTCTCTCTCTCTCTCTCTCTCACACACACACACACACACACACACACACACACACACACACACACACACACATGCAGTGGCCTGGAGAGCGAGGAGGACAAAGACATCTGCAAGATGGTCTCGGACATGCAGCGGCTCTGATGTTTCTCTCTGATGCCGGTTGAATGGCGAGCTGTGATAGCTAACTGTGATGTGTCTTCCTGGTCTCTCTCCTGCTGGTTTCTTTGTATTTGTGCAGAAAGACCATCATGCAAACAGACAGAGATGTTGACAGAGTCAGGTCTTCTTTAAAGGTGGTCCAGGTCCTCCAGGTTCGCTTGGTGTCCTCCGCTTTAACAGTCTGTTTGATTATTTAGCCTCTGACACTCAAAGAGAGCATTGGCTGTATTTGGCTTCATATCTTCTGCATGAATGCTTTAAAATAATGTTAATCATCAGGTTGCAGGATAAGGTGACTGTGACCTCTGCAGTATTTCTTAGAGCAAAATTTAGGAACATTTAACCTGCTAATCTCTGCTAATCTCAGAATACATTTTTTCCAAAAGAGCCGAGCAGGTTTACCTTCATCAAAGATCTGAGTCAAAGACACTAGATTCTAAAACTTCAGGAGGTTTCTCCTTTCAATGGGGTTTCTGGATTCTTTCAGTTTTATAGAAGGAAATCCTCCCCTCAGTTATTTCACCCTCTTACACACACACTCTCTCTCTCTCTCTCTCTTTCTCTCTCTCTCTCTCTCTCTCTCACACACACACACACACACTCGCACACACACACACACACACACACACACACACACACACACACACACACACACACACACACACACACACACACACACCTGTTGTATTCATCTCTCTGGGGACGAGCCTCACTGCTGACTGGATGTTAATAAAAGTGCAGAGACTGCAGCACCATGTGGATGGAGCTCAGACAGATGTTTCAGTGATCCCACATGCTGAAAGGAGAAGTGTGTGATGTGACAGACGACCCACAGCTTCATACCAACAAGTCTCTGAAAAAACTCAGCTGAGATGGTTTTTACCAACCCCTAACAGAATCCCCCTGGTTTAGCCTGAGACTGTTAGTAATCCAGGAAAGTGAAATGATAAGCTCTGCTTAAAAGCATGACACTCAAATGAAACTTAACAGAAAAGTCTTGTCATATTTGTTAAGACATGGAAGAGGTGAAAATATTTTCAGAAATATTGAGCCTGTTTAAGCGCCTTTCTCAGGACAGGAAAGGAAAGAAACCAGCCGAGACATTTTCTCTCTGAGGGGACGAATGAGTTAGACATCTTTGACCTTTGACTTTTAAGACAAACAATGATCTCTCATGAACTGTTTTCAAAACAGATCTAGGTGATATTGGGACTCAAAGGAATACTTTAAAAGTGAATCTTAAAAAAGAAGAGATCAGATCTAAGGGGTTCTTTAATCCTGCAGTTTAATCCTGCTCCAGGTACTGAGACTACAGTCCTCATCAGGGTCACTGGTTTGACTTTGATTCCCCATAATGTTTCCTATCTGGCTGTTAAGATGTCCTAAATGAGGCCAAAACATGACACAGGAAATAACTTGAGTCAACTGACATAATTGGAAGTCATTTACTTTGTCCTATTTTTTTTTACTTTGTCCTATTTCTTCTTATTCTTATTCTTAGACTGTGTTTGCTTTGATCTGGTTGTCTTATTCTTAGACAGTGGTTGCTTTGATCTGGTTGTTTTATTCTACTATTTTTATCTTTAAAGTGAGAGTGTTTAGCCCTAGAACACTATCTCTAAAAGGTAACACCATCACTAATGCTGGGTGATTTTTACCTGATTTAATCTATGCAATAAAAAGTACTTGTCATCAAAATATATATTTTTGACAATACGTGACAAATTAGAGTAGTGTTCCTTTTTTTCAGCTGTGTCATGTCAAACAAAATGCTTAATAAAAGTGTCATGGGGGTCCTCAAAAAATGTTCCAAAATTACTAAAAAACTATAAATTTGAGAATAAAAAATTCTTCAAAAAATAATGAAACTGAAAACTTGGTATTTGTACCCCCCCTTACCTGGAACATTTGAGACTTCCCTGGTAAAGGCACAGTCTCCTTGACACAAGAACAGCTTCAGGAGAGAGAAACAAAAAAATGACATTTTTCAAGTGGGTAAAAATGGCTAGCTGACAAAATTACTTTCTTCGCCATGTGAATTCCCTTGGAAATCACCACTTTGTGATATTTATTTATAACTACTGAACTAAATAAGTAGAATATGCAAATTCCAGGACTGCTCTTCATTACATGCAGTAAGTATATGCAGGGTACTATTGGTAATTCACAGGTTTTCGTTAATGCATATTAATCTTTTTCTGTAGGACTGCCACAACTCTACCTGCTAGCTATCTAGCTTGATAACACAGCTTTTGGCTGCATAAATGTGCACACTTAATTAGTTAATTAGCTTTGTTTTACTTACTAGCTGGGATACCAGAGACACCAAGCCTGCAACAGGGTAAAAGTTGTAGATGATACATATGAACATAAATATGCTGAATGTTGACACCATAAACTGTATAGTGGTTCTGCCTCCTGTCATTGTATGAATCTGAAGCCAAGTTTCTCTTGGTATTTCCAGGATATTCTCTATTTGCGCAGAAGTGTTCAGTGGGAGAATCACTGTGATGATGCTCTGCTCAAACAGCTGATCCCCACAGCTGCCATGGATCCAGAGCCATCGCACCACACCTAGATCAACACAATCTTGGTACGGCCATAACTGTCAATCACAGAAAGCATGAACCCCTAATAACTTTTAAAAATGGAGCTGTACAGAAAAAAGAGGACTTGAGCACAAAACAAACCAGTCTTAAAAAAATATATTGTCAACACCACAACCGGGTGGAGAAAAATGTATAATCTCTGTCATTAATTTCTTAAGTATGTCCACAGCTCCATTAGGATTGCTGAAGGAGGCAGGATTTCTGATCTATACTGCAACCAGACATATACTTGCAAACATTGGGTAATGAAAAATAGGGAGATTATTTTCATCAGTGAATTTGGCTCAAGGTACAAGGTTCCTTTGTTGGAGACATTGCCCTGAGAGCGGCTCTTAACTGTTGTTTACGCTCTTCGGTTTGAGACGCTGCCCTAAGAGCACACAACAATTGACTACTGAGGACTCCTGGTATGGAAGTACACTCAGAGCCAAAAATTCGCAGAAAAACCTGTAGGACCAGTGTTATTATGTTGTTTACTTGTTAGGGTGAAACCCTGTGTGTAAGTGGAAGTTAAACCAGGAGCATCTGTCGCAGGCTTTAGCTCTGGTAAGAAATGCTATTGCTAATGTGAATGCTTTGTTAACTGCACTGACTCCTTAGAGCAATTTACTGCTTTTTCTCAAAAAACAATCAGAGCTGTAACTGTCACCAAGTGCCTGATACTTCGCAGACACAAATACTGATCAATCTGAGCTTTAATGAGTGGTTACAAAGGATTGTTAATTACATTAGCATTGAGCTAACCTTTACCATAAGCTAACGGTCAGCTGTTGTTTTTACAGTATGTTGCTGCTACTTTGGTTAATGTAGCTACTGTTGTAGCATAGTGAGCAGAGCAGTCATAGTGTTTTACACCATTAAAGGTGCATTGTACTTGATTTTAAGTTAAAAGCTAGTTCAATGAGAGTTATCGCCAGAACGGAGGTGGTGAAAGGAAAGTTGAATGTTCAATATGAGATCTTCCGAGAACAACTGAACATCTACAATAAAGCAATCAAACAAGCCAGAAGAGTACACTTTTCAAAATTAATAAATGATGATCAAAATGACCCACAGAAACTTTTTTCAACCATAGACCATTTAATCAACCCTGTTTTTACCTAACCTTATAATTTAAACCTGTCATGTGTTGACCTCTCAATCCACTTCAGCAGTAAAATAAGTTTTATCAGATCAAACCTTTTACTTTCTCAGCCTTTTAGTTCTTATCCTTCAAAACCTTTGCTTTTGAATGAGAAAACACTGGAGAGTTTTGTCCTGGTTGATGCTGAGATGCTTGAAAGAGCTTTTAAACACCTCAAACCAACTACCTGTCTTTTAGACCTTGTTCCAGCTCCCCTTTAAAAGCTTTTATGACTTATTCAAGCATGATTTTCTTACCATTTTAAATAACTCTCTTCAGGTTGGTGTATTCCTTTCTGCTTTTAAACTTCTACTATTAAACCTTTTCTTAAGAGAAGCAATTTAGATGCATCAGTACCTGACAACTACAGACTTGTATCCAATTTGCCATTTGAAGTAAAATTTTAGAAAAGAAAATAGTTTTAAACCAGTTAAATGATTTTATCAATCACAGAAATATTTGTGAAATGTATCAATCTGGTTTTAGGAAAAATCACAGCACAGAGACTGCTTTAGTTAAAATTGCAAATGACCTCAGGTCTAACATGGATAAGAAGCTACCACCTGTTTTAGTTTTACTTGACCTGAGTGCAGCTTTTGATACAGACACACACACAAAATTCATTGAGATAGACTCCATAATTCTGGCACTGTTTTTAACTGGTTAAAATCCTATCTTAGTTTAGTTAGTCTTAGTTTTATGTGAACCTTAGGGATCGCTCATCTAAATGTTTTGACATGAAGTATGGCATTCCCCAAGGTTCCATTTTAGGCCCTACTCTTTTTAATGTTACCTTTAGGGAATGTCATCAAGAGGCACGGTGTGGCGGGGCGCCACTAACGCTCTCCCTCACAAGTGGCCGCCTGCTCTTCCTCGCGGCTGGCCACCCTCTCTCTTACAGCTGGACGCCTGCTCTCCCTCGCGGCTGGCCACCTTCTCTCTCGCCTTCTCTCCCTCTTGCTCTCCCTTGCTGGAGTGACAGACGGGGGAGTCAAGAATAACAAAAATGACAATAATTTCCCTGGACTCTTGCGTCCCCGCTACCAGTGTTAGAGGGTGCACACTCGAACACACTCACCTGCTGCTGAAGGAGAAGTCTGTCTCAGGTTCACCGACTGAACAGAGGCAGTTCTGGGTTACCCGTAAAATAGCACTAGGTGACGCGCTTTCTCGGGTCAGGTGACCCAGGGTGAAACCAAAATCACAGCGTTTGTTTGTCGGTATTACTGGAGGGGCTATAAAAGAGCGCATACAACTACAACTACAAATAGAGAAGACAACATTTAACAATGGCAGCACTTGCGCTGATAGAAGACATAGAAAACCGTGCCATCCGACGCGAGCGTCACTTTATGGAGCGGGAGGACCTGCTCCAGAACACAGACAAGTGGCTCATGAGCTGGTTCCGGCTACCGCGGGCCATCCTCCTGGAGCTGTGCGAGGAGCTCCGCCCGGCGCTCCAGCGATCAACGGCCAGAAGCCGAGCGGTGCCCGTGCCAACGCTGGTGCTGGGCACACTCGGCTTCTTGGCCACAGGGTCCTTCCAGCGGGAGATGGCGGACCGTTCTGGGGTGAGCCAGCCCACCATCAGCCGTGCCATGCCCACGGTGGTGGACCAGCTGATCTGCCTCTCTCACAGGTACATAAAATTCCCCTACGGTGTGGTTGAACAGGCCAATATTAAAACGCAATTTGCAGCAATAGCCGGATTCCCAAATGTAATCGGAGCTATTGACTGTACTCATGTTGCCATAAATGCGCCATCCGATGACAAGTACGCTTACGTTAACCGTAAAGGCGTTCACTCCATCAATGTGCAGATCATCTGTGATGCGCAGATGAATCTGCTCAACATTGTGGCGAGGTGGCCCGGTTCAACGCACGACTCGCACATCCTGTACAACAGCACTGTTGGGGAGAGGCTCCAGGCAGGTGCAGTGACAGACGGGTGGCTGCTGGGTGAGTAAATATGTAATGATATAATGTTATTCAAGAAACTTGACGTGCATCAGTGACTTGAACCAAATGTGTGCAACGCTGATGTATTGTACTCTGTGTTTGATTGCGAGTACTCGATGGATGTTGTGGGTTATTGATTGCTTATTGCTTGCTATTATTACAACGCTTTAAGCCCAAGACTTAACACACTGTGCTTTTTCTGAAGGTGACAGTGGCTACCCCCTCAGGACCTGGCTGATGACCCCTCTCCACAACCCCCACACTGACCGAGAGCGGAGGTACAACCATCTCCACTCTCGCTCTCAGTCAGTGGTGGAGAGGGCCATCGGCCAGTTAAAGGGTCGGTGGCGCTGTCTGGACCGGAGTGGCGGCGTGCTTCTGTATCATCCGGAGAAGGTGTGCCGCATTGTGATGGCGTGTGGCGTCCTCCACAATGTGGCACACCTGCACCACATCCCCATGGCCGAGCAGCACGTCGCCCCACATCACAAACCAGCAGCAGACGGAGGGATGCGAGCTGATCCCTGCCGGTCCGCCGTCCTCGCGCTGGAGAATCTCATCACCACAATGTGAATGGGTAAGAAGTGAATACACAGTTTAATGAGCCAAATTAATTTATTTTGTCCACCAGACGCTCGAGGACATTTACGTGGCGGTCCAGCCGATCGTTGATCCCCGCGATCCCCCTAATTATTTGTTCCTGTGATTGCAGGACCGCCTCCGTGAGGACCCTTCCAGTGCGTCCGGGTGGTCCAGCGGAAGCGCCGCGGCTGGTGGACGCTCCATCGCTTGTCGGCGCGCTGGTGTTGGTGCTGGTGCTGGGGCCGGGGGCGGGCCCAGTCACTCCGACATCTGCGCTCAATTCCACGCTGATTGGGATTTATCAAGGAAACACACGTGGCTTTCGGCGCCCGCACACATTGATACATACAGATTTTTTTCAGCGTGACGGACCTTGCGTGCGCTTGTTTCTGGTATGAGTCCCACACAAGTGTTGATACATGAGGCCCCTGGGTTGCAACAAAACTTACTTGCGGATATCTTCAAGGTTCTATTGGCCTTCCATGTATGTTGATGTGCAAACCTTCTGTAAAACCTGTCCCACCTGTTAGAAAACTTGCTATGTCCACCAATCAGACCATGCCTACCTCCAACCTCTGCCTGTGATCTCCGCTCTATTTAGGCAGATAGCCATGGACATTGTTGGCCCATTGGTGAGGAGCAGTGAAGGGCACCAGTACATCCTGGTGGTCTGTGATTACGCCACTTGTTTCCCAGAGGCTTTTCCCCTGCGCACGGTTACTGCTCCGGCAGTGCTGCATTGCCTTGTCCAGCTGTTTTCCAGGGTTGGTGTTCCAGACAAGATCATCACAGAACAGGGGCCTAATTTCACCTCCAGACTCCTGCAGTCTTCCACCGACAGTTGGGGATTTCCACAATCAAGACCACCCCATACCACCCTCAGACAGACGGCTTGGCTGAGCATGTCAACCAAACCCTCAAAAAGATGCTGCAGAAATTTGTGGCTGACATTGGGCGAGACTGGGACCAGTGGTTACCCTTCCTGCAGTTCGCCTACCGAGAAGTTCCCCAAGCATCCACAGGGTTCTCGCAGTTTGAACTACTATACGGCTGGGAGGTACAGGGGCCGTTGGATCTGCTGCTAAAGACATGGAAGGCTCCTGCAACAGGCATCAGTGATCGCAGTGTGGTCCACTTCGTGCTGGAGATGAGGGACTGGCTGGCAAAGTAGCAAAGTACCAGGATGAGGCCGAGGTCAACCTGCCTGAAGCCCAGCAGGCCCAGAAGGCGTAGTACGACCGACATGCCAGACGCAGAGAGTTCCAGCCCGGCCAGAAGGCTCTCCCTCCCATCTTCAAACAGCAAGCTGCTTGCCAAGTGGCAGGGCCCGTACACCGTCCCTACATGGGCCCTGTGACCTATGAGATCCACCACCTTGACAAGAAAAGGGCAAAGCAGGTCTACCATGTCAACCTGCTGAAGGAGTGGAAGGAGGCTCCAGCTTGGGGCCCTGTGGCGGCCCTATTGGTGGTGGAGGTGGACAGCGAAGAGGAGGAGGAGTGTACCCTCGCCGACCTCCATCAGTCTGCTGAACCTGCTCTTGGCCATCTCTCTGCCGTCCAGTCCAGCCAGCTGTGTCAGGTGTTCCAGAGGGTCTCCAAGCTCTTCGCTGCCAGCCCGGGGAGGACTGGCCTCATCGAGCACATGGTTCGCCTGAGAGACAAGGGGCCAGTTCGCCAGTGGCCAAGCTCCTGAAGGAGGTAGAGGAGGCGCAGCGCTTGGGGGTGATCGAACTGTCGCAGTCCGAGTGGTGCAGCCCAGTGGTCATTGTGGTGAATAAGGACGGCTCCCTCCGCATCTGCATCGACTTCAGGAAGCTTAATGCGATGTCGGAGTTTGACACCTACCCAATGCCACGGATTGACGAACTGCTGGAGAGGATCGGCCGGGCCAGGTTCAACACCACCCTGGACCTCTGTAAGGGCTACTGGCAGGTACCCCTGGAAGTGTCCAGTCGTCCCTACACAGCATTCCAGACACCTGCTGGCCTCTTCCAGTTTACGGTGATGCCCTTTGGCCTGTACGGGGTACCTGCCCCGTTCCAGAGACTGATGGACCAGGTTCTACAGGGTGTGAGGACTGCAATGCTGCCTACCTGGATGATGTGGTCATCTTCAGTGACACCTGGGAGCAGCACCTGCATCATTGGAGCGAGTCCTGGGCCAGATCTAGCAGGCAGGCCTGACGCTGAATCCAGCCAAATGCCAGTGGGCCAAGGAGGAGGCAGAGTACCTGGGGTACTGGCTGGGACGAGGGGATGTCTGGCCGCAGGTGGACAAGGTGGAGGCCATCCGCAGCTGCCCACGCCCTCACACAAAGAAGGAGGTGAGGTCCTTCTTGGGCTTGGCCGGCTGGTACGAAAGGTTTGTCCAACAGTTTGCCACCATCGCAGCTCCTCTGACAGCGAAGGACCAGAGAAACCCGGTCATCTCGAACGAGGACTACGAGATGGCCTTCCACGCTCTCAAAGCCTGTTTGTGCTCTTCGCCAGTCTTGAGAGGCCCCGACTTCAGCCAGCAGTTCCTGGTTCAGACTGATGCTTCAGCTGTGGGACTGGGGGCAGTCCTGGCCCAAGGTGAGCCAGGTGATGAGCGACTGGTGCTGTACCTGAGCCGCAAGCTGCTACCACAGGAGACCAGGTACTCCACTGTGGAGAAGGAAGGCCTGGCCATTGAATGGGCCCTGGAGAGCATGAGACTGATTATCGGGCGCTGACGTGGATAGATTCAATGAAGGATCACAACAGTCGTCTCACCCACTGGCACCTCTCCCTCCAACCATTCCAATTCTGGATCCACCATCAGCCGGGCAAGAGCAACGTTGTGGCAGCCTATCTTTCGAGGTTGCCGCACATCGCCAACCTCAGGGTGGAGAGGGGTATTGTGGAAGGGCGCTACCCTCGTGGCTGGGCGCCTGCTTTCCCTCGTGGCTGGCCGCCATCTCTCTTGCGGCTGGCCGCCCGCTCTCCCTCACGGCTGGCCGCCTTCTCTCTCGCTCTCTCGCCCTCTCGCTCTCTCGCCCTCTCGCTCTCCCTCGCTAATGGAGTGACGGACGAGGGAGTCAAAATTAACACAAATGACAATAATTTCCCTGGACTTTTGTGTCCCCGCTACGAGTGTTAGAGGGTGCACACTCGAACACACACTCACCTGCTGTTGAAGCAGAAGTCTGTCTCAGGTTCACCGACTGAACAGAGGCAGTTCTGGGTCACCCGTTAAATAGCGCAAGGTGACGCGCTTCCTCGGGTCAGGTGACCCAGGGTGAAACCAAAATCACAGCGTTTGTTGAAACCTAGTTGATTATTGTATTTGTGTCAATCTTGGCTCAGCCATATGAAGAGTGTGAGTGACTTAAAAATTGGTTTGTGTTATATTGTGTGTTTGTAGAAATTGACCCTTTGTGCCTCCTGAACCCGACACACGGCTTCAATTTCCACAGCTATGCTGTCAACACACAACTTTATGTTGCTGTGTCTCCTGATGACACAGGGCCACTTTTTAACTGCATTTTAGACAATAAATCATGGATGGCAGAGAACTTTTTACAGCTCAACCAGGACAAAACTTATGTTTTAGTAATTGGGAAAGGGGACAAGAGAGAGAAACCGGTCAGCAAACTCAAAGCATTATCCTATAATCCAAGTCAACAAGCTAAAAATTTATGTGTTTTATTTGATTCAGAACTGAGCTTTGAGCCTCACATACGAGATTTCACCAAGAAGGCATTTTAATCATTTAAAAAACATAGCCCTCTCTCTCAAGCCCATGCAGAGACATTAATTCATGCTTATATCACTTGTACAATAGATTATGGTAATGCACTCCTTTCTGGTCTCCCCAAAAAGAACATTTGACTCCTGCAATTACTCCAAAATTCAGCTGCACGGATGTTAACAAGGACCAGAAAGAGGGATCATATTACACCAATTTTAAGGTCTCGGCATTGGCTACCCATCTCTTTTAGAATAGATTTTAAGGTTGCTTTATTGGTTTTTCAAGCTCTTAATGGCTTTGGCCCTTCTTATCTATCTGATCTTCTTTTACCATATGAGCCAGGTGGAGCCCTCAGGTCTTCAGGAGGTTCTCTGTTAACATTGCCTAAAATTATAACTAAAACATACGGTGAGGCATCTTTTTATTACTCTGGCCCCTGTCTATGGAACAGCTTACCTTAAGATCTGAGGACTGCACCTAATCTTTATGATTTTAGAAACAAACTAAAAGCATACCTTTATTCTTGCTTATATCTAAATTTTGTATTATTCACTTTAAGTGTTTTATTATTTATCTACTCTAGTTTTAATCACAGGATCGTCTTTTTTGAGCCATTTTGGTGCCTTTATTGTAGTATCTTTTACTGTTGTTTTTATTTCATTTTATTTATTATTTCTAAAATGTCGTTCCATGTTTCTTTGTTTTTAGATTTTAACCTAAACCTCCAGTGTTTTCTTATCTTAAGTTTTAAAATGACGTTTCCTTAGTGCGCACATCCGTGTCCACGAAATCAAGCCCTATTGAAGTTTATGCATTTTAATACTCATCTCAACTCAACTCAACTTTATTTATATAGCACTTCACACACAACAGAGTTGACCCAAAGTGCTTTACAACAACACAGAGGAAAAAACAAAACAAAAGAAGAGAACAAACAGACGATGAAGAAGAGCAGACAGAGTGACAGTTATATTAATAACGATAGCAATAAAAAATATTTTCAATACCATCACTATCATCATCATTCATAATAGTGATAATAAATAACAATAATAATAATAATAATAACAAAAGCAGCAGCAATAATAAATAAAAATAAAAATAAAAGCGCTTTGGGTATCTTGAAAGGTGCTATACAAATGTAAGATATTATTATTATTATTATTATTATTAATAATAACAATGATAAAGACAACACAGATCTAATGACCTACAGACCTCACAGAGCCTACATGGGAAATGGTTGAGCTATAAAAGTTAGGGACAGTTAAAAGCTAGGGAGTAAAAGTGGGTTTTAAGTTGAGTCTTAAAAGTCTCAATAGTGGGGGAGAATCTGGTGGGAGGGAGAGAATTCCACAGTTTTGGGGCCGCGATACAGAAAGCCCTGTCCCCATCAAACTTAGTCCTGGATCGTGGGACTGACAGTAGTCTTTGGTCAGACGATCTTAGTTCTCTCATTGTGCGATATGGAGACAAGAGTTCTGTGACAGAAGAGGGGGCAAGACCATTACACACTTTGTAAACAAACATCAGGGATTTAAACTCAATCCTGTAGCTAACAGGCAGCCAATGAAGGGAGCCAAGAATGGGAGTAATGTGTTCCCTCTTCTTAGTTCTGGTTAAAACTCTGACTGCTGCATTTTGAATTAGTTGGAGACGAGATGAACAAGACTGAGTGATACCAAAATATAATGCATTACAATAGTCGAGGCGCGAGGATATGAAGGCATGAATGACTTTCTCCAGATCAGAAGTGGTAGGAAATTATTTGATTTTTAAGACAACGCGGAGCTGCATGAAGCTTAATTTTATGACCTGATTTATTTGTTTGTCAAACTTTAATCCTGAGTCAAAGATGACACCAAGATTTTTAAAATGTGATTTGACAGAGGGGGCCAAAGGGCCAAGAAGGGGGGGCGATAATGTTGGTGAACTGCTGTGGTCCAAATAGAGTAACTTCAGTTTTTTTTTCATTGAGCTGGAGAAAGTTTGCAGCCATCCAGGATTTGATGTCATGAAGACAGTTATTAAGGGCACTTATTTGATTGTAGTTATTAGGCTCAAGGGGAGGTAGATCTGTGTGTCTTTTTAATAATGTGACCAAGGGGAAGCAAATAGATGGAGAAGAGAATTGGACCAAGTATGGAACCTTGGGGGACCCTCTAATTGAGACACTTAATGATCTCTTGGACAAATATGATGAAAACCAGTTTAAGGCAGAACCAGAGACTCCTGCCCATTGTTTTAATCTGTGAATAAGAATTGAATGATCTACTGTGTCAAAGGCTGCAGTTAGATCGAGGAGCAGGAGGATGGAGCAGTTACCTGAGTCAGCAGCTACAAGGTCATTAGTTATTCTCAGTAATGCAGACTCAGTACTGTGAAGAGCTCTGAAACCGGACTGGATTTTTTCAAAAATGCAATTTTGAGCAAGGTGGGACAATAGTTTGTTAAAAACGACTTTTTCAAGTATTTTGGAAAGAAAGGGTAGTTTAGATATGGGTCTGTAATTGTTGAGGACTGAAGGATCTAGATTCGTTTTTTTTAAAAGTGGCTGGACAACTGTATGTTTGAAAGATTGGGAAACATGACTGGTTTCCAGGGAGCTACTGATAATTGAGAGGACAGGTGGAGGTCTTCATAGAAGAGATAATATGATGAAGTTCTGTTAAAGTCATGGAGTTAAAAGAATTGAGAACTGCAGTATTTTCAGAGGAGATGGATAGGCTGTTTACAGATGGATTAATACTAGCTCTGACGTTAATGACTTTTTCTCTAAAGAATTTTAGGAACTCACATTTAGAGTCAGATGCTTCAAGGCAGGAGGTGGGAGTGGAGGAAATGACAGAGTTCAACACACTAAAAAGTACCCTAGGATTATGACAGTTTTTTTCAATGATATCAGAAAAATATTGAGCTGTGGCATTTTTGACAGCCAGCTGATACTTATCCAAGAGATCCTTCAGGATTTGGAATGTGATCTGCAATTTGTCCCGCTTCCAACTTCGCTCTGCCCTTCTGCATGCCCTCCTAACTTTTCTTGTATTTTTATTAAGCCATGGTAAGGCTAGAGGCTTACGTTTTTTAATTGTTAGAGGCGCAACAGAGTTAAGGGTGGCCGAAACAGTACTGGTAAAAAAGAGAGAGAATTTCCTCTGTGCTCACATGAGATGGTGCTGCCTCGATACTGTTAATGTTGGCAGCCTCTCTGTAGGCTTCTGCAAACTTAGTGGCAGTGGATGAATTGATAGTTCAGGAGCGGAGAAGAGCAGAGTGAACCGGAGAAAGATGAGGCAAATCGCGATCAAAGATGATTGCTTTGTGATCAGATACATGAAAATCTTCTATTACTGGGTTTGAGATAGAGATACCCGAGGAGAGAACTAAATCTAATGTATGGCCTTTAACATGGGTCGGGCCATTCACAGACTGGTGGAGACCAAAAGATTCAAGTAAGTTTATAAAATCACGAGTCATGGCTTCAGAAGGACAGCAAATATGGATGTTGAAATCTCCAAGAATAAGAATATTGTCATACTTTGGGGCAATGTTGGAAAGGAGATCAGAAAACTCACTGTTAAAATTAATGTTTGGTTTGGGTGGTCTGTATAATAGCAGGCAGAAGACCGGTGAGCTGCCATCTATCACAAAAGCCAAAGATTCAAAAGATGAAAAGGGGCCTATAGAAATAGAGGAGCCCTTGAGGGCAATTTTGCAGATGACAGCGACCTCACCACCTCATGCATGTAACCTGGGTTGATGAAAGTGAAAGTAGCCTGGAGGAGTGGTTTCAATTAGAGGGGAGAGGTCATCAGGGGTAAGCCATGACTCAGTGATGAAGAAGCAGGTAAGGTTTTGTGATAAAATAAAATTTTGACGGATAAATGATTTGTTTGAGAGAGATCTTACATTCAGCAAACCAAATTTAAAGGAGATGAGAGGCCAAGATGGAACTGTAATGGTGATAAGATTGTCGTAATTTACTGAGCGAGATGCTTTGTAGAAAGACTTATGTTGTCTGATTGTTTGGCGGACTGGGATGTGATTAACAGGAGGAGCAGCTGGGAGTAGGATCGACAGTCCATGCCCCATGAGTGGTAGGGGATGAGTTTGGCCAGATGTTGCAGAAATGTTGCTTGTAGCAGGAACCCTATCGGTGAATGTACCTCATGGTGGCATGGACTGTCTCAGACAGTCCAGCGGGCATTTTGCAGATTAACCAAAGCATAGTAAATATTTGCAGAAAGCAGTTTTGCACCATGTAGGTTTGGATGGAGTCCGTCATGTCTGTACAGTTGGGAACGGTTCCAGAAGAGGTCGAAGTTGTCAATAAAATCTAGATTCATTTGTGTTGCACTGCATACTCTTTTAAGCCAGGTGTGTAGAGACAGTAAGCGGGAAAAACGTCCACAGCCCCGCCCGAGGGGATTGGACCAGATAGAAGAATGCTTTTTCTTGTGTCCTTTAAGGCAGGGATGAGTAGCTGAAAGTCCGCACGGAGGATTTCGGACTGTTGCTGGCTGACATCATTTGATCCCACATGAATGACCAGGTTTGAGCAGTCTGGATGGTGACTTAGAACAGAAGGCAGTTTATCTCGGATGTCCAAAATGCACGCCCCAGGAAAACAGTACTTGTGGGCACCTTTTGCTCTGATGTTCCTTACCATGGAGCTTCCAATAATAAGCGTTAAGGGATGGGGATGAGATGGAGATTGTGGCAGAAGTGGAGGAAGATCAGATTGCGGATTTACCTCGGTGATCCAAGTGTTTAGCCTAGGGAGGCGAGACCGGGGATTTCCAGGGCGCGAGGTGGATGAGGAACCAGCAGTAGGAAAGGAGACGGCCGCAGCTGCGGCAGCAAAGGAGTAACCTGGAGCATTGTTGCCGTTGATGCCAGCGGAGGGCTGCACGTGGAAAACACGAGCCGCCACAGGTTCAGCTCTCCCAGACCTTGGGCCAGCAGCGGAGCGGGTGGGGGCGGCTGCATCCCTGGAGAGATCCGCTGAATGCATCCAGTAGAGATCCAGTAGAGCCGCAAAGCGATTTGAGAGGTTGAGGGGAGGTGAAGCGATTTCTTGGTGATCACTCTTCTTACGGCCCCTGACTACCTCAGTCCAGGTAGCTCGGTGATTAGGAGTCGAGCAGGAGGAGGATCCGGGACGAGTTGCAGGATCCCACAAAACGGTGTTAGCTATAGCTGAATTCATGACTGCTAACTTTTTTGACTGGGCAGAGGTGATATCGATGAAGCTGGTCAAGAGACGATCCTTCTTTTTCAGCTCATCTGACAGTCTACGGATGTCCTCTTTCAGGTTAGTTATACTCCTGTTGTTTTTCTGGAGCAACTGACAGTCTCCACAAGGCATTTTAAGGTGTTCTGGCATGCTAGCTAGATCTGAGGTAGTCAAATCTGTTTCTGTTGCAATTATATCGTGGGGTGGGAATGAGGGGTTGGGCTGGGGTAGATTTGGGTATTCTTTAAATCTCGGTTTGGGTTGGATTTGGGTATTCTTTGTTTCTTTTATTTCTTTCTCTGTGTAAAGCACTTTGTGCTACATGGTTGTGTATGAAAAGTGCTATATAAATAAGGACTGATTGATTGATTGATTGATTGATTGATTGATTGATTGTTATTGATTATATGTTTTTATGTGTTCTTACCATAGACTGTGTATACTATGGAAAACTTGGTTCCGCCTACCGCCTGCATATGGATTTGAAGCCAAATAGCTCTCGGTATTTCCAGGATTTTTCTTCATTTCCTGAAACCAGCGCTGCGCAGTAGCGATGCGCGCATTCGGCCGCGCAGTCGCCGAGAGTCGCTGTGATGACGCCTTGCTCAAACAGCGTATCCCCCGAGAGAGCCACGCAATCCCTGAACGCCCATAGGCTGTATCAGGTGTCAATCATAGAAAAAATGAACACCCTAATAACTTTTAAAAATGGAGCTGCACAGAAAAAAGAGGACTTGAGCACAAACCAGTCTTACAATAACTACATGTCAACATCACAACCAGAGGGGAGAAAAATTTATGTTCTGTGTAATAAATTTCTAAAATTTGTCCACAGCCCCATAAGCTTTGCTGGCGGAGGCGGGATTTATGGCCTATACTGCAGCCCATCAACAGAGGGTGCTCTTCTCGGAGTGGCTTCACCCAGCGAGGAGGAAGACTCTGTCCATTCTATATACAGTCTATGGTTCTTACATTTCAAATATAGATGGGTCATGCCATTCAATAGGTTTCAAACATAAATAGATTGAGTATGTCAAAAAGCATCAATAAAGGATTTCTGATTTGTTCTTTGATTTCATTTATGTTACATTAATATTACAGAACAAGAGTACCTGATTGTTTGCTCATTTGCACTAAAACATCTTCATGTAATATGATGTATTGATTTCATAATGATAAGAACACTGTTTATCCCTGTGAGTTGATTACACTTCATCAGAAAGTTTGATGATAGTCGAGTTCAGGAAATCTATAAAGAGGAATAGTAAGACTTATGCATTCTGCACTGTGTGCATAGATGATAATTTTTTTTTTTTTTTTTTTGCCAGACTGGATTATATGGGTCTGAACTTGTTGTTCAGTGGCGCGCCAGCTTGGAAGTGGACTGTGGAGGAACCAATGTCACAGTGTGGCCAGCTGGAGAATTCATCTGCAGAAGAGAGCATCAACGATTCCTCCTTCTCATTACCATATATATAAGACTGACACTCAAAAAATCTACTTGGGTTGTTGTACAGACATCACAAGAATTACATGCACATGTACACGAGACCTTGACTCCTTTCCTTAAAGGGGCAGTACTCACGGGACATTGAATCTTTCTGTTTGTTTTTATAAGAAGTCTCTAAAGGGGGACACCATTGTTTTAAGAATAATAAGAATAAGAATTTTATTGATTCCCGAAGGGAAATTCTTTGGTTATAAAATGGAAATTAAAAAATGGAAAAAAGGAAAAAAAAATAAAGGAAATTCAATGGTTTTAGGTTTTGTTTTTTTTTTCTCTGTTTTTTTCTGCCCATTTACTGTGCAGTTGTGCACATTAGGAAGCCGGCTTAGGTAGGCAGGGTCTGTGATTTTATATTTATAATTTTGTATATAATATACCACCTTTTATTTACCAAGTTGCATATGTGTCTGTTTTCTCTGAATGCTTCTTTCTCAGGCTCTGTAGCTGTTCCTAGATCTTTCTGATGCTGGCTCAATATTGAACTATAGAATTATACTTAACTGGGGTAATCGTTACATAATTGACTCAGGGAGAGACACAGGGAGAGAAGTCAGAATATAGCAGTCTGGTCCTGCAGTATGGCTCCTTCTGCTGGCCTGGTGAACCCCCCCTCCCAGTCCAACACCCTGGTCAGCCCCCTCGGTCTCCAGGATCTTGGACGTCCGGCTGCAGGGCAGGTGTTTCCAATACCTTGTCGACTGGGAGGGGTATAGGCCTGAGGAGCGATCATGGATTTCCAGGAAGCTTATTTTGGATGGTTCCCTGCTTTAACAAGAAAACGCATTCAAAACAGCAGAAATACAACAGAAGACTATTAAAACAGATGACATCAACAAAGGAAAGCTTTAGCCTGTAAGTAAGTCTTGGATAATGCACAGAAATTCTTTATCTATCTCTGTCTGTATGCTGAATTGAGGGGATGATAGAAACCACCAGCGAGTGACTCATTACTATGATTATTATTTTCCGGCAGTATCTGTTCAGTTATTTGTAGGTCAACCATAAACCTCTTTTCTTTTCTATTTTTTTTCCGTGTGTGTGTGTCTGTGTGTGTGTGTGTGTGTGTGTGTGGTGAGTGCATGAGTAAATGTATAAGGGATGGGGTAGACTGCCCAAACCCTACCACTCGAGTGAGGGCATTATTCTGCCCCGAAGTCACTCAGCGTATGTTGTCATGTCACATAGTCTTGTAAGTGCACTGGGGTTTTCCTGACCTTAGAAGGATAACGTCTCTTGCACTCCAGAGTCTGTTGACCAGAGACCTGTGGGACCCCCGTCGTGGCAGGTGTGCTCAATGCCTCCTGAGCGGTAGTCTCTTGTGGTCTCTCAGGTGTACTGATGGATGCTTCAGGTGCTACAGAGGTCAGTGAAAGATGAAGTCAGTTCCTGTGCAGAGAGCCTCTGGGCATCTCGATGACGTAGGACCTTGGTGTCTCTACCCGTGAAACCACCTTGCCTCTCTGATGCATGTCTCGGACCCACACATGGTCACCAGGTTGTAAGCGTGGCATATCATGTGCTCTGTGTCTGCGGTTGTAGTCTTGCTGTTGTTTATGTCCGTAGTGTTGTTCTGCCTTTTTCAGATCCTCCATGTCTGTACAAGCTGGGTTGAGCTAAGATGGAGGAACAGGAACAGTAGTTCGGATTTTCCTACCCATGAGTAGCTCGGTGGGACTGTGTCCATTAGCTAGTGGAGCAGCGTGGTAGGCCATGAGGGCAAGGTAGGGGTCCCTCGACTTCTTGAGGAGACCTTTGATTGTCCGATAGCCCTCTCCGCCTCCCCGTTGCTCTGCAGAAAGTGAGGACTGGATGTTACGTGGCTTAAGTTCCAGTCATGTGCAAACTTCCTGAAGGGCTCAGAAGCGAACTGGGGTCCGTTATCTGAGCGCACCACCTCTGGAATCCTGTGTCGTGCAAAGATAGACTTGAAATGCTCAATCATGCCTTCTGAAGATGTGGACGTGAGCTTGGCCACTTCAAAATATCTGGAGAAATAGTCCACAATGACTAGGTAGTGTTTATTGTCTAAGTGAAATAGGTCTGCACCTACTGTCGACCATGGTCTTGTGGGCATTAAGGTTTCCCTAAGGTTTGTCCTCTCCCTGGCACAGGTGTCACAGCTTTCTATCATTTTAGTCAGCTCTCTGCTGAGCCCTGGCCACCACACTGACTGTTTAGCTCTTGCTCAGCACTTAGTCATGCCGAGGTGACCCTCGTGGAATTACAATCCTGCATCCATAGAGCAGCAGGCCATCGTGAACTGTGAGCTCCCCTGAGAATGGTAGATAAGGTTAAAACTCCCTTCCGATTGAGAACTTGTCCGGCCATCCGTTTGCACAGTAAAGCTTCAGCTGCCACATTACATCGTCATTGTCTTGATGTCTCTGAATTTCCCTGAGCCTTTTCTCAGTCGCTGGCAGGCTCGCCCCGACCCTAACCCTGGACAGCATGTCAGCAGTCGCGATCTCTTTTCCAGCCACATGAGATATGCTGTAGGAAAATCTCATTAGGTGCATGCGAAGCCGCTGTATGCGAAGTGTGAGTTCATCTAGGGTCTTTGAGCCTAGTAGCGGAACCAAAGGCTTGTGATCCGTCTCAATGAAGAAACTTTTTCCAATTTTCCAAACTCAGAAAACCTCTGGCAGGCCCACGTGGAGGCCAGTGCCTCCTTTTTGATCTGGGTGTATCGCTATTCAGTACTGCTGAGAGATCTTGAGGCACCTGCCCCAGAAACTTTATCCTGCACTTTGAGAACTCACATTTGTCATTTAGGGTCACCCCTACCTCTTGCCCTCACTCAGTTTATCACCACTTTTGATATTCCACTTGTAATACAAAGTGATCAGGGTTCTTCTGTTTAAGCTCCGAAACAGCTTGGGGTTAAGCACAATCATGCATTGGCTTATCACTCTCAAGCCAAAAACATACAGGATCTGTATTGAGCACGTTCCATCAGCGTCGCGTATTTGCTCCTTAGAGTAGCACTGTCTGTTGCACACAGGATGCATATTTAGAGCGTGGCAGCAGTGTAGTGCAGCCCCGGTCAGCTAATTTGGATATAATTCAGTGAGTGTTGACCCTCTACTGTATGTGAAAAAACAACATAGCTCTCCTTTTTCTTCTGGCCGCCTTACAGTTACTTGGCTTGGGTTGGTTTGGTTTGGCTTTGTTTGGATTGATTTGGGTTGGTTTGGTTGTAATTTGTTTGCTTTGTACAACACACTTGCACATATACACCTACCTACCACTCATGCACACCTTTCACACTAATGATTTACACACCTCATTTCTTAAATATTCTAATTTGGTGATTTCATAAAGGTTGTTTTGAATCTTATACACGGTGTGTATAACTCCCCTTCTTTTTTGCTGTCAGCCAGGTCAAGACAGCAGTTACCAGGGAGTGTTGTCCTCGCAGAGGGACTCATGACACTCAAGTCAACGCAACATAAAAAACAGAACATAAAAAATGCAACATAGAAAACACACCTAGAAACAGCATGTCAACACGCCATGCAACATGTCAAGTGTTTCCTGTAGACAGAGTCTCAGATAGACATGTGCTGGAGAGGTTCCTGAAGACAGAGTCTGAGCTAGACCAATTTCAGTGTTCCTGAAGACAGAGGGCTCTATTTTCGTGCGC